ACTGAACGTGGACCAGAACGGCGGCGCGTGGTGCCCCAAGGTGCCGGTGGACACCAACTCGCGGGAGTACCTGCAGGTGGACCTGGGCTCCGTGCACGTGATCACGGCGACGGCGACGCAGGGGCGCTTCGCCAACATGAAGGGCATGGAGTACACGGAGGCGTACAGGCTGGAGTACAAGCGGCCCGGCCTGCCCGACTTCCGCACCTACATCAGCAACGGCAACGAGGTAAGGCGGGGACGCAGCTGTTATCCTCATTATCTTTATTATTGCTTTTGTTGTTGGGTTGTTTACTTAGAAGCAATTGCAGGTGTTGTCGAAAGCAGTCGAGGTATACGGACATGCACATGTACCCCTAAAAAAACACACGTATATATATAAACAAATGCATACATACACTCACACACACATACATGTAATCACACACACACGCACACATACATGTAATCACACTCACACACACCTTTCCCTTGCAATATATCTATATGAATATATATACTCTGATTAATCTATTTCGTGAAATATGAAAGTTGCTGTATTTCATTTTTGAATTTTAATCATTGTTGAGAAGCAGAATTACGCAAAAGGGTAAGCGAACTTTAGCTAATGTTTTTTTTTCATTTTTATTTGTAAACTTAGAAACGATATTCATTATGGAGTTAGAACAAAGTATAATTTCAGTAACTAAAATGCTGAGAGTAACTTATTAATTATTAAATTTGTTATTACATTATTAATAGGGAAAAAATTAAGACAAAAGACAAGGAAAAATAATCAATCGAAAAACAAGAAAATGACAGTAATAGATAGCAACAACTATTAACAAGCTATGAAAAGAACAAAACAAAAATAACAAAGACAAACAAAAATAAATGACCGCCGAAGAAATCAATCAGAAATCATCCAGGAAGGTAAACAAACAAACAAACAAACTAACAAGGATGAACATAACCCAGCCTTCCTCGTCTCCCCTTCCCCCCTCCCTCTCTCTCTCCCCCTCCCCCCTTCTTCCACTTCCTTCCCAAGCTGCTCTTCTCCCTCAACTCTCACTCAACCCTCCCCCCCTCACCATCATCAAAGCTCCCAATTTGTCCTTCGAAAAAAAAAATAAAACAAAGAGAGAGAGAGAGAGAGAGAGAGAGAGAGAGAGAGAGAGAGAGAGAGAGAGAGAGAGAGAGAGAGAGAGAGAGAGAGAGAGAGAAAATAGGCAGAAATAAAGGTAATTCGTGGATAGATCAATTGACAGATACATAGAAAGATAGATAGATAGACAGAGAGAGGGGGGGGGGGCGCCAAGGAAGCCGTAAGAAGGTGAATGTAATCTTTAAAAGTGCCGTAGAAGGGCGGGGGCGCGACGGTCCCCGGGGGGTCTTTTTCGGTGTAGGGGGAGGGGCCGCGGGGGACTGAGGGGGAGGGAATAAGGGAGATAGAAAAGAAAGAGGGCAGGGAATAAGGGAAAAGGAGGAGGGGCCGGCGAATTAAGGGGGAGGGAATAAGGGAAAAGGAGGAAGGATCGGGGAATTAAGGGAGAGGAAAGAGAGGATGCAAGAAGGGCAATAAAGGAGGTAAACAAAGGAACAGGGAGAAGGAATTAATAAATAAAAGGAAAGGGGGTAGGAGTAAGGGGAGAGGGAGAGGGGGAGGGAATAACAGACGTAAAAAAAGGAAGAGAAGGAAGGAATGAAGGGAAAGGGAAGGGAATAAGGGCGGACGAGGGGGAAGGAATTAAGCGGGGGGGGGGGGGGGGTGAATAAGGGGAAAGGGGGAGGGGATAAAAGAGAGGAAGGGGCGGGAACAAGAGAAATAGAGGAAAGGAACAAGGATAAAGTTGAAGATTTTTCCCTTCCTTTTTTGTAAAGCAGAGAGAGAGAGAGAGAGAGAGAGAGAGAGAGAGAGAGAGAGAGAGAGAGAGAGAGAGAGAGAGAGAGAGAGAGAGAGAGAGAAAGAGAGAGAGAGAGAGGGATGGAGAGCGAGAGAGAAATAGATAGATAGATAGATAGATAGAAAGATAGATAGATAGAGAGAGAGAGAGAGAGAGAGAGAGAGAGAGAGAGAGAGAGAGAACGAGAGAGAAATAGATAGATAGATAGATAGATAGATAGAGAGAGAGAGAGAGAGAGAGAGAGAGAGAGATGGAGAACGACAGAGAAATAAATAGATAGATAGATAGATAGATAGAGAGATAGAGAGAGAGAGAGAGAGAGAGAGAGAGAGAGAGAGAGAGAGAGAGAGAGAGAGAGAGAGAGAGAGAGAGCATAAAAAGCAATTCCTTCCTTCGAGAAACGATGAAAATTGGCTCCATTTAAGCCTCGAGCAACCAGCGAAAAGTTGAGTACACGACATGCCAATAACAATACAGAAACGAAGATGGAAAAGAAGAAGTAAAAGGGAGAAAAAAGAAGAAGGAAAGGAGGCACGAGAAACAACAACAACAAAAACGAAGCAAAACAAAATTAAGGTAGAGAGAGAAAAAAAGAAAAAGAAAAACGAAATAAAGAAATATAATAAAGAAATATCCGAAGAAAGGAGCACTAAAGAGAAGAAGAGAGAGAGAAAATAATAATAAAGGAAAAGATTTACTTCTTCTTCCTTAGCCAGGGAGAAGTTAAAGTCTCAAAGTTTGGCTTCTGTTTGTCTCTTAGTCGACTGGCATCGGCACTTGTAAATCTTAGAAGTCTTTGATGGACTCCCTTTAAATCGAGTATAAGAGGGGGGGGAGTGGGGCTGGAGGGAGGGGAGGGGGAGGAGGAAGGATGGCGAGGGGGAAGACGGGGGGAGGGAGGGAAGGAGGGAGGAGAAAGGGAAGCGGATGGAAGAGAGGAGCAGGTGGACAGGAGGAGGGCGAGGGGTAGGGAGTGGATAGGGAGGGAAAGATGATGAATTAGGGAGGAAGAGGAGGAGGAGGAGGAGGAGGAGGAGGGAGGAGGAGGGTGGGGGGGAAGGAGGAGGAGGAGGAGGAGGAAAGGGGTGGAGGGAAAGAGGAGGAGGAAGAGGAGGAAGAGGAGGAAGAGGAGGAAGAGGAGGAGGAGGAGGGAGGAGGAGGAGGGAGGAGGAGGAGGGAGGAGGAGGGAGGAGGAGGGAGGAGGAGGGTGGGGGGGGGAGGAAGAGGAGGAGGAGGAGAGAGAGAGAGAGCGAGAGAGAAATAGATAGATAGATAGATAGATAGATAGATAGATAGATAGAGAGAGAGAGAGAGCGAGAGAGAAATAGATAGATAGATAGATAGATAGATAGAGAGAGAGAGAGAGGAGAGAGAGAGAGGAGAGGAGGAGGAGGGGGGAGGAGGAGGAGGAGGAGGGAGGAGGAGGGTGGGGGGGAAGGAAGAGGAGGAGGAGGAGGAGGGAGGAGGAGGGTGGGGGGGAAGGAAGAGGAGGGAGGAGGAGGGAGGAGGAGGGTGGGGGGGGGGGGAGGAAGAGGAGGAGGAGGAGGGAGGAGGGGAGGAGGGAGGAGGAGGGAGGAGGAGGGAGGAGGAGGGTGGGGGGGGGAGGAAGAGGAGGAGGAGGAGGGAGGAGGGAGGAGGAGGGAGGAGGAGGGGAGGAGGGAGGAGGAGGGTGGGGGGGGAAGGAAGAGGAGGAAGAGGAGGAGGAGGAGGAGGGAGGAGGAGGGTAGGGGAGAGGGAAGAGGAAGAGAAGAAGAGGAGGAGGAAGAGGAGGAGGGGGAAGATGAGGATGAGGGGCAGGAAGAGGAAGAGGGAGGAGGAGGTTCTGGAGAGGGAAGAGGGAGGAGGAGGAGGAGGGAGGAGGAAGAGGAAGAAGAGGAGGAGGAAGGGGGGAGGAGGGGAGGAGGATCGAGGAAGGGGGGGGAGGAGAATTAAAAGGAGTAGGAGGAGGAGGGGTGGATGGAGGAGGTAGGGAGGCGGAGCTGGAAGGGGCAGGAGGAGGAGGAGGAGGAGGAGAAGAGAAGGAAAGGAGTGAGGAGTGGGTGGGAGGAGGAATAGGAAGGCGGGAAAGAAAGGAAGGAGTGAGGGATAAAACAGGAGGAGAAAGGAAGGGAAGGAGAGGCATGGGAGGAAAGAGAAGGAGGTAGAGAAAGAGGGAAATAAGAGAGGACAAGAAGAATGAGGTGGAAGAGGAGTGTAAAAAAAAAGAGGAGAATCATAATGAGGATAAAGAGGAGAGGAAATACAATTAGAGGAAGTGCTGAGCGAAAGGAAAATGAAGGAGGAGGAAGAAGAGGATAAGAATGGGGGAAATGGAGGAGGTGGCGAACAGAGAAATGAAAATGAAAGGGAAGGATGTGAAAGAGAAGAAGAAAAGAAAGAGGAGCCAAAAGGCAGCAAAGAAGGATAGAGAAAAGGCGTGGAGGACGAAGAAGAGAAAACTGGGGGGGGGGGGGGGGGGGAAAGCGGAATGAAGGGGAGAAGAGGAGGAGAGAAGAGAGCGAGACGATAACTTCACGGTAACAAAGAAAGTCGTTATCGCTCATTATTCCCGATTACATCGCTCATTTCCCCTCGTTTTGTGCTCCCTCCTCCTGACTCATCTCCCCCCCCCCCCCCACACACACACACAAAAAGAAAGAAAGAAAGAAAATAGCAGTTGTTGCCTCCTTCCACCGTCGTTCTCTCCTTTTCTTCCTCCCTTTTTTCGCTCCGTGTCGCGGGACCTCGCTCCGACGCCGGCCTCCCCCGGGACGCCGCCGTGAAGGATCTGTGTTTTCTCCGAGATTCCTGTACTTTCCCGAGGCACTCCGAATCGCCTCCGAGTCAGAAAGAGTCATTCTGGGATTCGAAATTAGGAGGAAATTTCACGGTCGCTCACTGACTCTGAGTCGGGGGGTGAGTCGCTGGGGGCTCAGGGTGACTCGAGAAGGACTCATTCTCTTCGCTGGCCTCCGAGTCGAGTCAAAAGTAGGATTCGAAATAACTCTTTCCCCCACGCAACTAAAGAGTCAGTGTGAGTCAAAAGGAAGTTGCTCGTCTCCCTTCGAGTCTGCAGAGTCGTGGTTATATTGTCTATTGATGAGTTATATCATCTATTGTGAGTTAGAAGGCGAGAAA